AGAGTATGCCCCCGGACACCCTTATAGCTCGATAATGATGCCACTCCTGAGGTTCACCCTTCAGCCAAAGATTGGACGGGCCCCTAAAACAACAGGACTAAATGGCCACACCAGCCTAGGGGCAAGGACGAGAAGGCAGGAGCGGACAGGAAAGCTGGTAACGGGGAATCCAAGGTCGAGAAGGGTAGAGTGTTGCCATGTTGTGGAATTGGCAGCCAATGTCACAAAACAATATGCTCATTATTTAATGAGAAACTAGTTTGCTCTGTAAAACTTCACCTAAAGTACAATTAAAAAAAATTTTTTTTGAAGATTTTTTGCAGTTTTGTCTAAACATTTCCTTAGGAAAAGTTCTAGATTTGGAATTCCTGGGTGAAAGAATCTAATTTTTTCTTTTTTAAGTTTTGGACATAGATTGCCAAATTCCTTCTTGGAAATTGTTACTCTTCAACCCACTGTGTGTGAGTGCACCCTTTCCTGATTCATCTACCAACACTGGGAATTATCAGTCTTTCTAATCTTTACCAATCTGATAAGTGACAACCAAACCAAACCCGTTGTCGTCGAGTCGATTCCGACTCATAGTGACCCTATATAACAGAGTAGACCTGCTCCGAAGTTTTCCAAAGACCCCTGGTGGATTCGAACTGCCAACATTTTGGTTAGCAGCCAAGCTCTTAAAACCATTGCGCCACCAGGGCCCCAATGAGCAAGAGTGTCACTTTAATTAAGGTTAAACTTTTTATTTTTTATTGACCAATTGCATTTATTTTGTGAACCCTTTATAAAATATTTTATTGTGTTTTAGGTGAAAGTTTACACAGCAAATTAAGTTCCCATTTAACAATTTTTATACAAATTGTTCCATGACATTGGTTATAATTTTTTACAATGGAGCCCTGGTGGCGCAGTGGTTAAGAGCTACGGCTGGTAACCAAAAGGTCGGTAGTTCTCATTTGCCAGCTGCTGCTTGGAAACGGGGCAGTTCTACTCTGTCCTATAGGGTCACTATGAGTCAGAATTGACTTGATGGTAATGGGTTTGGTTTTTTGGTTTTTGCCCATTTTCTATTGTGAGATTTACCTTTTTTCCCCCTTGTTTGTAAGAATGATTTATACATTAATCTCTTTGTTGTATGTGTTACAAATGCTTCTCCCTCTCCCACCTTGTCATTTATCCTTTAATTTTGTTTATGATCCTGTTTTCTGTACAGAAGTTTCACACATTCATGAAGTCAAATCTATCAGTGTTTTCCTATATGATGTCTTCCTTTTGTGAGCATTTATATCTTGGCTTATGGTTTTCCCATGTTCTGCAGCTGGTATGCTGGGGCAGTATAATGTTGGTACCTGCAAAAGTGCTTTCTCCCACCCCAAGATGAAGGGTCAGGAAAGGCGCTACTTTATTGCTGCTGAAAAAATTCTTTGGGATTATGGTCCTCAAGGCTACAACAAATTCAGTGGTCTTCCCCTAAATGCCTCTGGCAGGTAAGCAGCCTTCCCTTGTCTGGTGTTTTTTAGCTTCTCGTAAGAGAGGCGTCTGGTAGGCTTTTCTTAAGATCTCACTTGTATTCTAGGCACTGCTCTGATGAGCACCTACTGCATGGGTTGTATAATGACATCACTTAGGCAGTTCTTAGCCCCGTAATATAAGTACCACTAAAAATTGTCAGAGTATTTATTCCTTCATGACTTGCTGGCTAAATCAAAGGACTAGATTAATTAATTCATTCATTCATTCATTAATCTAACATTTCTTGGGCACCTACAGTATGAAAACTACAGTGCTAAATGCCATGGGATATCTAAGCTGACAGAGAATAGGATAAGGCCTTTGCACATATGAAACAGATAGTCTGGACGAGGGAGTAAAATAGAACTCTCTTTCAATGGAGATGAACTGGCCGAGGAAGGTTATCCTTTTTTGTTGTTGTTCAAGGGCATCCTGATGTATATTATGCCCACTCTACTCAGAATGTTCTTTCCCTCTCTGTCCAGTAAAATGCCATTTATCCTTTAAAGCCTAATCCCAATGTCACCTCTTAAATGAAGACTCTGCTGGCCCAGTAATCATTTTCTCTCTGTGGTCCCATAGCACATAGTGTTTGTCAGATTGAATCTAACAATGCATTAAGTGGATGCGGACTTTTGTGATTTGTTATAAAGGAATCATAGGCAGTGACGTCTGTGAAAGCATTAAAAAATGTACAGTGCCATACCAGGAATAATTGCTATTATGTCCTTTTTATACATGGGGGAATGTTTAAAAAATTCTCCTTGTGACAAATGATTAGAAACCTTTTGTTTCTTTCATTGTGAATTTCACGTATTCATTCATTCATTCATTCTTCCACCAATGGCCCAGACAGTGAGTTTCCCAGGCATTCAGAGTGAGATAAGATAGCCAGAGAGAGTTTATTAAGGAAGTGGAACTTAAGCAGGGTCTTGAAGGATGATAGAATTTATGTGTATGTAAGTGAATAGTGAAGAGAGGAGGATTTTAGATGCAGGAAGTAATGCAAAGTATCTGTTGTATAGGGGATAGTGGTTAGATCAGAATGATTGGAGTGGAGGATTTTCATAAGGGAATAGGCATTTGTATAGAGTGATAGGAAGAGAATTGGGGTAAAGTAAATTGGATATTGATTGCAGAAGTCCTTTAATCCTATACTAAGGAATTTGCAGCTTATTTGATTGGCAGTTGGAAACAATTGAAGATTTTGGAGCAAGTTAATGACAATGAAAATCACCTTTTGGGGAGATTAATCTTATAGTAATGTGTTTACTGAGAGAAAAAAAAAGTGTGAGCCAGTGTGAGATTGAGAAAGCAGGTGTACAGTTAGGAGGTTCAAATAATGATTCAAACATAAGGTGGGATAACTGGGGTTATGGCAGTGGGGACAAAAAAAGAAAAGGAAAAGATGGAAGGATGCCAAAGAAAATTATAAAGCAAGGATGAACAAGATAAGAGGGTGAAGCAAAAAGAAAAAACAAAGATGTCCATGTGACTGGGAGAGTGATGATACTATTGACAGAAATAAGATTGTGTAGCGATAATATTAGAATTTATTTTACTGTGTTTAACAACTTGGAAATTTCGTATTTCATGTATATAACTTATATGATAACTCTCCATTAATTAAACTATTTGATTAACCAGTCACTCCATTCCTTAATCATGCCAGATATCAAAGAGCTTACTAAATGCAGAGACTATTCATATTGACAGCAGCAAGAGATACAGGGATGTTTATTCTTGAAAGAAACCAGTTAGCTATTTGTTACTTTGTAAACAAATAACTTTGTACTCTGAGACTCTAATATTGGTAAGTAAGGAGTTTACCTGTGTCTTCCTCAGTTGTTAGACCTCTGGGGAAGAAGATACAATAGCTAAGAGAGAAATGAGCTTGGGCATCATTCACCTTCTGAAGACTTTTCAGGCTGGTTAACTCTTCCCGAGAACTTGGTTGAAGCCTGTGCAGTCTTTTCTGATGGGATAGGTGGGTGAGTGGGTTAAAGATCATGAAACAAAGCTCTACAATTAAGACAATTAGTGGATATGTAAAGAAGTGTTCTTACTCAGGTTCCCACATCTTTCTGCAGTGACTCTGAACCCTACTTCACACAACGGGACAACAGAATAGGAGGAAAATATTGGAAGGTTCAATATGTTGAGTATATTGATGCAACTTTTACACGAAGAAAGAGACTCTCTGAGGCAGAAGACCATCTTGGAATTCTTGGTACAGTAAAACCATTCCTCACGTTTTGAATCGGGAGATACTTTAGCTGGGTATATACATCTATGTAGAATGATCTTCTTCTCCTGCTCTTATTCATTCCTTTCTATCATCCTCTTCTCTCTCCTCCTCTCAATATTTTTTAGGCCCTGTCATCAAGGCAGAGGTGGGTGATATCCTGTTAGTGACCTTTGCCAACAAAGCAGACAAGGTCTACAGCATTTTGCCCCATGGTGTGATCTATGACAAGTTATCGGATGCAGCCCCAAACTTAGATGGTAAGTCTGAAGCTGGGTGTGGGAAGGAAACAGGATATCGATGAGTGAGCAAGGGACTTAGAACTAGACAGACCTGGCTCAAATTCTGGTTCCTTCACTTACTAGCTCTGTGAGCTTGGGCAATTATTTAAACCTTCTGAACCTTATTCTTATCAAATGCAGATAATAATAACCAGCTTACAGGGCTTTGGGGAGAGATGAAGAGAATTCAGGACAGGGTCTGGCCCACAGGAACAAGAAATTGCTTTCCCTTTCCCAATAATGTAGTAAATCTCAAAATGAGCTAGTTTTACAATCACTTCCACTTCTCTAAGATGGAGAACATTTCTCCTGAAGGTTGCATGAGATTCTGTGGTGAAGGCTGAGGAAGAATCTGATTTTCAGTGTTAACAGGCAAACCTGATATTTGAGTAAGAAATAGTATGCAATCTATGAAGGAGATAATCCTTTGATTTCAGCTTCTGTCTTATAAAACAGTAGACTGTGGCAGTGGCCTCCACTAGTAGGATACAGAAGAGAGAACAACTGCCCTTATGCAAAATATGTCATCACCAAAGAGAGACAACCAGGGCTGATGACCCAGTCTGACAAGGTTAATGTTCTTAGCTGTTGCTTTGAGTAATTGTTTCCTTTATTTCCTCAGGGTTTCTGAAACCAGGGGCACATGTGAAGCCAGGTGAAACCTTCACATACAGGTGGACAGTGCCTGAGAGCGTAAGCCCAACAGCTGGTGACCCCCCCTGTCTGACATATCTTTACTTCTCAGCAGTTGAGGCAGTCAAGGACACCAGCTCTGGCCTTGTAGGGCCTTTGCTGGTCTGTAAAAAGGGTGTTCTCAATGCTGATGGAACACAGGTAGGCCATCAAAGTTTTCTCAAGATTGTATGTGGGAAAGATCAGTAATATGGCTAGAGATTAGGTGGTGATAAAGAGTCAGTTACAAACATCAATTTCTCCTCTTTCCTCTTGAAATTGACTTCTACAGAATGGTTTGTTGTTGTTGTAAATTTAAGATCTGAATTTCCAAGTTATAAATGCCCACCCAGGAACCCAGTGTTTCTGCTTGTTGTAGCTGGGATCCCATGGGCCTCTTTCTTGTGCATTGCTTTTGTTCTGGAATCTTCAGAGATCCACATGGAGTGCTTACTGGGATCCTTTCCTCTTGGACAGAGTATCTCAAACTTGGCTGCACATTAAACAGTCTGGGGACTTTTAAAATATTACCTTACTCAGGTACTTCACACCGATTAAATCAGACTCCCCAGGTAATTCTAATGTGCAGCCAAGGTTGAGAACCACAACTCTAACTTAGGATCACTGTAAAGTAGAAGTTAATCACTATGGCTGAAGGAAGAAGAAAGCCATGTAGATAATTTCTTGCAAGTCTCAACTTGGAAGCTTGGATAGTTGCACTGATTAGTGTGTCAAAGCATTGCATTTAAGCTATGTCTATATGACATTAAACACATTGGTGAAAAGAGGAAAATCCAGTTATTTAACCATTTGGACTTCACCAATCATAAATAGCAAGAAATTATATTTAGATGGTATACGTATAGTGTTTGACAGTGTATGGACTCATCTCTGGGCTCAAAGGAATTTCTAGGTTTAGAGGACACAAAATATCTTGGTCTACCTCAGATTTTCTTGTCCCTGCACAAAGGAACAAGCCTGGAATGACTATTGGAGGCTCAGTGTGTTCCTGGCCCTCTGACTGGGTCCCCAATAGTCTTGTCTAATAAGAATAAATATTTATGCTGTACCTCACAAAACAACAATCACATGAAACAAAGCAGAATGATTACCTCTACTTTAAACCTGAAGAGACTGAGGCTCCAAAACACTGTGCTATCCCAGGAAACAAACCTAGTAAGTAGTGAAAGTCAGCAGTAGAACACAGGACTTTGAGCATCCAACTTTATCCTTTTTCCAATACATTATCCTGCTTCCTACAAGTTAAATACCTGAGCCAAGGAGGTTGAGTGCTAGAAAACTTTTGCAAGGAATTTCTTATTTTGTCCTTGTTCCGTTTAATTACTGGTAATTTTGAGGTTTGCTAGAGGCATCTTCTAGTCTGTGGGAGTTGCTGCCTGAGCCAATACCATTAAGGGTCCATCTACTTAAACAAAATTCATTAAAAAAGTAATACTAACTATACCTTGGATTTGGATGAGAGAGAAATCCAGAGGGCCAGAAAGGAAGATATTTTCCATGCAAGAAATACTTATGAAATACCTGCTATGTTCAGTCCCCCTACAGATAAAAACATGGCACGGCCTCTTCTAGGCAGGTGGAGAGATGAACATGTAGAGAGGTGTTTACCTCTCTTTCAAGTAAATTGTAAATTCTCCTCAGTGGTTAGTGGATGGATGTCATTGAATATGGCCAGATGATATAAGGATGTTTTCTGAGATGAGTGACCTACCACAATAGTCATTCAATTAAATTCTCTGCTTCTGTTCTCCATCATCTATCGATCCATCCACCCATTCATTCATCCATCTACCCATCTTAAACTTTTCTTTTTGAAATAATTTCAGACTTATGGAAAAGTTGCAAGAAAAAAAATGACAAATAATTCCCAATATTCCCATATTCTTCACCCAGATCCCCCAAATATACATACTTAAGCTCATTTGCTTTATTAGTCTCTCTTTTTCTTTGTTTTTTCCTGCACTGTTTGAGAGTAAGTTGCAGGCATGATGTCTCTTCAGTGTATGTTTCCTAAAAACAAGGATGCTCTCTGACACAAACACAATATAATTATCAAAGTCAGGAAATTCACCTTGATACCATACTATTATCTAATCTACAGACCTTTCAAATTTTTGCTGATGATCTCATTAATGTCCTTTATGACAAAAGAAAAACATCCTTTTTCTAGGGTAGCCTTTAATCCACGACCACACAATGCATCTAGTTGCCTCCTCCTCACGTCCTCCCCCACATGATCTATTTCATCACAGGGCAGCAAGCGTCTGACTTTTTTAGAATACAAAGAAGATCAAGTCACTTCTCTGTTTAAAACCCTCCAGTGATTTCTTATCATACTTAGAATGAAATCTCCATGCTTACCCTGTCCAATATCATCTCTCACCACACCACCTCTTGCTTACTTATGCTCCATTCACATTCGCCTTTCTATTCCTTGGACAGGCCAAGCTTACCCTGGCATAGGGCCTCTATACTGGGGCTCCCTCTGCCCAGAATGCACCTCCCCTGACCTTTGCATGGCTGGCTCTTCCTGTCACCTCCTCAGAGAAGCATCAGCTGATCCCCTAAAATTACTCTCTATCACATCAACTAATTTTAATTCTTTGCATATCACTTACCACCATTGGATATTTTTCTTGTTTATTTATTTGCTTAGGTGTATAGTGTGTTTCCTTCTGTGAGAATGCAAGTACCATGAAGCAGGGACCTTATCTGTCTTATTTTTATTTCCTAGAACAATTCCTGGTACATTGTTGACACTCAACAAATATTTATGGTTGAGTAAATAAGATACAGGGTGAGCACTCTTATCCCCAAAGTTATGTTAAGAAGTTTAGCTAACAGAAGATGCCATATTACACACAACTCAAACATTAAATATGTGGGAGGTGGAGCCAACATGGCACTAAAGACAGAAGAACCATGCCGCCCCTCTGCAGCAAAGACCTGAAAAACTAAGTAAAGCAGATACAGACGTCAATCCTGGAACCCTAAGTACCAAATGAAAGAATAAAGAACTCCATCAAATACTGAATGGAATAAGAAACTGACAGAGAACAAAGAACAAGGAGCGCTACGGAGTGGAGGTCCCATACCAGCTAACAGGGCTGGATTCACCATCTTGGGCTACAGCCACCAAAGAACTCCAGCAGGGAATACAGGAAGACAACTTCACAGAGCTCCCAACAGGTGCTAGAGCAGCTATTAACCAGGGATACACGTTTTCCCACCCCACACCCTTCTTCCCTGTATGAGACCTCCGCCACTTGCCAAGGGGCCACAGTTGCTTGGCTGGAGAGATACCAGCTCACTGCTGCCCAGATTCACCATCTTGGGTTATAGCCACCAAAGAACTCTGGACAAGGAGCATGGGAAGACAACTCCACAGAGCTCCCAGCAGGAGACAGAGCACCCGGTAACCAAGGATACACACTTTCCGACTCCCCAACCCCCCACCCTTCTCCCCTCTACGAGGTCCCTGCTGCTTGCCAGTGGGCTACGGTTGCTCGGCTGGAGAGACACTAGCTCATTGCCACCGGGGTCCACCCTGCCCCCACCAGCCAGCTTCTCC